AATCACTCTGCCCTTTTTTCCTTTGTCATGGTTGTGTCACTTCTTGGAGGTATCAAGTACATACTTTGTGTCAACAGAAAGTATTTTTGCTTGCTTTCTTTTTTCTTTTTCCCCTCCCTCCTTTTCCCCCCACTCCCCGCTTCTCCTGTCTTGTCTTGTCTTTTGTCTTTGTCTTTGTCTTGTCTTTGTCCTGTCCTGTTGTTTTGAGACAAGCGTTTGCAGGTTAGGCTGGCTGTGAACTCACTTTATAGCCTAGGTTGTACTCATACACATAGCGATCCTCCTGCCTCCTCAGTCTCTTAAGTGCTCTGATTAAGACATGTACCACCAGACCTGGCTAGATTTCTTTAGATTAAGTGACTGTAAAGAGATTTCACCTCTTTTTATATGTAATGGTAACAATCATTGTTGTAAAAATAAATTTGAAACATCATTTTTTCATTAATGAAATTTTTTTTAACTATTACAGGTTCAGTTTTCCAGTTTGGCAGCAGCAGCACTACCAATTTCAACTTTACAAACAATAATCCATCAGGAGTGTTCACATTCGGTGCAAATCCCAGTACACCTGCAGCCTCAGCCCAGCCTTCAGGCTCAGGGAACTTCCCATTTAGCCAGTCAGCAGCGGCGTTTACAGTGGGGTAAGACAATGTTTTGTTGAAATGGAAGTTTTAAGTTGGTCAGTTTTGAGTTGGGCTTTGTATGTGTGTTGTTTTCTAAAAGTCTTCAAGATGCGGTAAAATTAAATATATTCTCCAACAGTAATTCACTTTATTGCAAGTTCAGAAGATTTTATTATAACCTGAGAAAAATAACAGTAATGTGTGTTTGGTGTTAGGAATAGCAGAAAATGTGTTTAACAGTATCTTTTCCTGTCTTCCTCCTCTTTATTGCTGTTGATGTTTAATACTCTATATATAAAGTTTTGTTGGGAGCTCATGTCACAGTATGAAGTTTTTATTTTTTTTTTTCAGGTCAAATGGGAAAAATATGTTCTCCTCTCCTGGAACTTCAGTTCCTGGTCGCAAGATAAAGACTGCTGTTAGACGCAAAAAATAAAGGTCATAATGGTGTTATATACAACAGTTTTAACAGCTGGTGCCCATCATTTAGATACTGGATTGTACTACATGCTGGGCTTATCTGAAATCAGATCTGCCTAAGGACTTCTTTAATTTTGGAATTTTCCTTCTCTCTTTATGGAACCCCTCTCTCGCCTTTTCCACCCCCTTTTTAAAAAATAATAGCTAGACTGATGACTGATTCTTCAGCAGAAATATTTTATGGTCCAGCACATTATTCACTGATTTGGCATAGTCTGCCTGTACCCAGGAATAGAGCCTGCACGGTGAATGGCTTTGTATAGAACCTCTTTGTCTGCACCACTATGTGCGTTGATAAGCGTTTATAGAACGCATTGAAATTGTAATTATATCTGAGGAAGTCTGTATAGATTAGGATTCTGTATAGATTAGAGGACATTGAAATGAATGATTTCTATGCCAAGTTTGTGCTGGTGTATGTGTGAAGTGAGTGAGTTGGGTGTATTGTGCACTAAGATTTTCTGATAGAGAAAGCCTGATCAAAGAATTGGTCCATGCTAAGGACTTGTTAGATCTAGTTCATCCTCCATTTAAGAATTATATGCTATTTCTATATTTTCATTCTTCTATCACCTGTCTTGCCTTTTTCATTATTTTATTATACAACTTCTGTAAATACAATTTTGTTTCTGTACTTTTTGGCATAACATAAATCTGTGAACTTGAAATTTTAATTTTGTGTTAGACATTTTTTTTGTTGTTAGTCTTGTCTCAAATTTTATTACTTAAATCCCATTATTCAAAGTTGCCTAAATCCATTTGGAAATCTTTAAAAAAAATTGGGGCATCTTAAAAGTTGAATTTATTGGCTTTTCTGATCCAGTTTTGTTTGGACCAAACACCAGTATTGTACAAAGTATTAAGCATATATTTTTATATTTACTGAAATGGACTGTGGTGACTTTGGATAATAAGGAAATGTTTAATATTAAAGCCATGTTTATTACAGTATAATTAACATGTTAAACCATGGGATAAATGCCATCAATAAAAATTTATGAAGTACTTTTTGTTATAGTTTTAACTCATAATGAAGGTACACAGTATTAATGGGACAGGATTTTTTTTTTAACAGTGGTTGATAAGAAATCCCAAAGAGTACATTTAAGTAATTAGATAACTCCTAAGAGAAGGGGAAAGTATTTGAATTTCCAACATATAGGAAGTATACTGCTTCTTGCTTGGTGCTAGAATTCTTGCCTAATTTGCACATAGATCTACATAACTTTTTTAAAAGTTGAAAATAAACACACATAACCATTTCTGTTTGTATTTACTTCCTTGATAGATGCTGAGACAGTGTTTCTTGAGTTCTTAGAGATACATATCTGAAGCACTTGAAAAAAAATGGCAGTGGTCTTTTTGAGTTATTTCTTTTTAAAATTTTAATTTTATGTAATTTATTTTGGATTGTTTTATTGCTGCATTTATACTTTCAAGAGTTGCTCTTGGAGGGCCGGAGATATAGCTTAGTGACACAAGACCTGCCTGGCAAGTGCAAAATCATGAGTTTGATTCCCAGTTTGGAAAAAAAAAAAAAAAAGTGCTCTTGGAATGGCACTTGATAATTTGTCTTCAATGTAAATGCAGTTATTTGTTTTTAATTTACCAAGCTTATACTTGGTTGGCATTTAAATTTATAACCTTTAAAATAGTCTTTATTAATGTTACACACTTGACCCTTAACCTGCTGGAGGTGATCGTTACTAAAAGGTGGTGGGAAATGCTATTAGAGGTAACTGGACATCTGTCTCACCATTGGGAGTTGACACCTAACTTTGTAAGCTTGTTCTTAACCATTCTTGGGGCCCATATACAGTAATAATACCTCAGTTCACATACATTTCCAATCACACAGTTTGGCTCACAAACAAAAGTGTCTGGTAAAATTCTGCTCCTGATCTCTCTGCATCAGGTGCTAAACATGGCCACGGCCATCTTCCCCACACAAACACAAATGCAGCCATCTACCCCCAAATTGCACAACAAATTGTTTGTAAACTGAGCACTACTGTCATCAGGAATGTTAAACAAATGCATTTACCTCTATTTGGGTATTGCCTTTTTAGCCAAGTGTCTTTTCTTGTTGCCTAGACAAAATGGCTGACACTCAAAGCTAAAGGAGGAAGGGTTTGTTTTAGCTCAGTTTGTAGAGGTGTCAGTCCAGTCACCTGGCTCTAAGACAGGATGGCATTGCAGAGGAGAAACAGTTCATGGCAGATGGGGCAGCCAGGAAGCAAGCAGCCACAGCAGAACCCTGTCGGTCCCTTATGTTGTATCCAGGAAGTGCAGTCGTAGGGTCGGTAGCACTTGCACCCAGGGTGGGCCTTTCCATCATCCGCTCTCAGAAACCATGCCAAACTGATGAGCAGACTCATTTAGTAAATCAGTCTTAATCCCAGCATCACATACTATGGATCCAGCCACCTCTGAAAAGTTTTGGGGACACCTAACAAGCCATGAGACCAAGTTATTGCAAACCACACGTAAGGTAGTTTACATTGAATAAGTTTTGGCTCCTCAAATTGAGAACCTATACAATTGAGTTTAGAACTTGGGACTGTTTTAAGTCAGCTGTTCCAACTCCATACCTAGCAAAAGTTATCTCCTTACTGGATTGGCTTAGGAAACCATTTCTCATCTGCTTCTTGTGTTTCATATATATTCTACTCCCAAGTGAAAATTGAGGTTTGCTTATGAATGGAGAGAGAACAGATGTTAGGAAACAATAAAAGCCCACTTCTCATGGTTGGCCAATGAAATTATTTTAATAGAATTTCTGGAGGGGAGTCTTGCAGACAATGTGAGTAATCAGCTGTACTTGTAGAACTTGGGGTTGGCTGAGTGTGATACACTTAGGTTCTAGGATCTCATCACTGACTAATGCACTGGGTCTGGATATGATCCAGAAATTTGCATCAAGAAAGCACCTGAAAACGTGTGTCACACCAAGGACCTAGAATACCATTTTAAGCAATGTGCTAGGTGGTTTTGAGTAGTGCAGTTTGAGGCATTGAGAGAAGTGTAATTCAGACAATTGAAACTTGTCTTTTAAGCTATTTGGTTTTTTTTTCCCTGAAATTGCTTATGTATTTTATTACTTAAAAGTGTTAGATTAATTTTTAAGAGCTCATAACCAGGCTTTGAACTTTCAGATTTAGCCTGGGGAGAACTTGTGTTCATGTTCTCTGTCTGTTAGCATATCCTTTTCTGAGTGTTTAAATTCAGTGGATTATTTTATAAAGGCTAACATGAATTGTGATAGGCTTGATGTCATTAACACTGAGAGGAATGAGAGTTGGGTCTAACTCTAGCATAGTAGTGGTAAAACTATGATACACATGTTTTTAAGACAAAAGATGTTAATATATGACAGTGTTCAGAGTTTAATTGCAGCTTGGCACTTCCCATAAGCATTTGGGTATTTGTCTCTAAAGTTTGCCATTGCTGCACCTAGCATATAACCAAGTCAGTTATTTCTTTGTATTATGGGCCAGCTATTTAGACCTCTCAGAATTCTTGTGTACTTCCCAAATGCACGATATGCAGCTAGTTTCTTAACAGCATGTCATCTAGAGGATGCAAGACTTTTGCTACCATGGCGTGTACCCTTTTTTGACTTCCTCTGGTGGAGCCATTTGTAAAGGTCAGAGCTGAGTTTAAGTTGTCTATCTGATATCTTGTGTGGTGGTTATGATGGCTAACAATGCTAAGGACTGGACGAGTTTAATACTAAGCTTAGTTGATATCCAGAGTAATTGTAACTTGTACTTAGTGAAAGGACATATCCCTAAAAGTGGATGTTTCTATAGGCTTCTATTTTTCAGAGCAATCTTGACTGCCACTAGAAAAGCTGTATCCCTATCAAAACTAAAAAAAAAACGAAGACAGGTCACATGTATTTGTACCTTAGTATTTATTGAGACAAAATACAAATTGGTGGCATACAAATTATTAAAAACAAATGGTGAATTTATAAGTGGGCCATCAGATACTCTTTTGCAGATCCAGGGCTCTTACAATGAGCTGCATGGAGAATGGCAAGACATTGAAATATTACTTGTCAGATTTTGGGAATACTGTTGTTTGTGCAAATTCTTTATAACAGGGACAAATATAGAGGCAAATCATTTTATATTCCATATCTCCTTCAAAAGCTCTTTATACCTATGTAGCTAATGTAAAAAAATTTCAACTCCTTTTTCATTTTGCTTTGCAGCAAATACTTAGCATGAGTAAAACTTTACATTTCTAATTAAAATGAATTTTACCATATTTTAAGACATTCAAACCCCTTAAGATTTATTTGTAATTTACACAAAGTGACCCAAGTACAATGCCTTTTTAAAGAATCCTAAATACTAAGTGAACAACTGCTGAACCAGTCCTAGAGCAATAGTTGGGCTACTCGTTATTGTAATACTGGCAAGTGACATCTTACTATCCAGATGTGCTGGCTTTATTTCTGTGGTCTGCAAGGCTTACCATCACTCACACTTACTTACCTGGGGCCCAGCTTCTGGCTTCAACATGATTAGCTGATATGCCAGACTCCTGAAGGTGCATAGGCCACCGCAGTGTACATTCAGAAGACAGGTAGTTAATGTCCTGGGTGCCCAAATTCACCAGTAGCTGTTTTTAGCTGAATGATAATGTAGCTATAAGACAATATACTTATCATTAAATCAGTCCTAATATTTCAGCTTAGGACATGCTTACTGAACTTGTGTTTTCAGCTCTAATCCTAATACTTATCGTTAGGCTGATTATTTTATTCAACTTTGTTTTGTCTGCAAGGTAAGGGTTTCAACATGAGAATTACACTCTATATAGAAAATTAGTTTTTAAAAGTAAAATGCACCAAGTAGACAAGTGTTAAAAGGAGTCTCCTCAAGAGAAAAGGGACAGCAAAGCCACATTTCATCTTCTGTCACTGTTTTGTTTTTTTTTTTTAAACACTCTGGGAGCCATGAATAGAAACACACAGGTTTTTGTTGTGAAGGCAAAGTAATACTTCTACATATCTATTATAGGGCTATCTATATAGTTATAACTGAATCTAGATATTAATCTCAATGACTCATGTATAACAAATTATTATACTTTCTGTATAGCAAACAGGACAATTTTTTTTTTGTAACCCAGAATGGGCAACTATAATTATTTTATTTGAACAGCAATTTCAAAGATGCAGTCTGAGCTATAGGGACTAAATGACATTTCAACTTGAACTCTCCAATCAGTGACAAAAATAGTATATAATGCTAGTGTCTAGATAAAGTGCTAACTTTATAATAGTATTTCCCAATTTCTAATAGAATCAAAAGGTTTTTCTTTTAATGGGAAGAGCCATAAATTAAATTTTCCCAGAGGCTTCAAGTGAATATCTACTTAGTACTCTGATGTACTTTAACTCATGAGCTTTCTGTAAAATTGGACTTAATTTTTTAATAAAGTTACTATAAGGACATTGTTAGTGTCTATAAACATTAAATGTGTTTTCACAGTTTTACATGTCAGAGACCTACTTTAAAATTGAGTGATAACAGATGTTTTACATTTCCAATTTAAAACCAAGAGAAAAGTCTTGATCTCTTAATTTTTAACTGCAGAACAGTTTAGTGCTTTCAGGAAAACAGAGTTGGACAAAATAAGAGTGAAATAAAACAAACTATATATAGTACAGGTGTATCTTAGAGCTAACTAGGACATACAACTAAAGCACCCCCTTCCCCAGCATTGCTTTAGTAGAACAGAATGGTAATACACAAAGAATTTTGCTCAGTCTTTTCCCCAAGACATCAGCTCTTACAGGCCCAAAATGATCCTAAAGAAGCTAAAATAGTTTGTAGAAATGATATTGTCTACCTCTTTGGAGAGAACAGTTCATTATGGGAAAACTGCTAATATCTCACAGGCTACTAGTATTAGAGTTATTCATAAAATACTACATCTTTAACTCCTGATGGTTTAAGAGTCTCAGAACTGTATAAAATATAAAAGTAACAACCACATGAGTATACTGTACAGAAACAGGAGTCATACCCATATTTCAAAACACTGAAAAGCACTAACACTTTTTTCATGCTGCATATACAGAGAATATTATATTATAGTAATCACACAATGGCTTGATGGAAATTTTTCTTCACATAGTTTTAGGGCATTGAAATTCCCTATTATAAGCAATCACTAACGTTTTCTTTTAAAAAATTTCAATGATAACAGAGCAACACAACAATACTATTTCATCATCTTGGAAAACTTGCCCAAAACACATGCTTAAACCCTATGTGAGTGGTGGTAAAGTCACACCCTCTCTGCAGGGACTTGCAGTGCACACTGACATTTAGGGAAGGGGACTGCCAGGCCTGCCTTGCCCCTTTGTCTTGCAGCTAACTCAGCACCTCCTGGGGCTGGACACACAGGGATTACCCAGCCTGTGGTTTTGCTCCCTCCTAAAAAACAATTCCCCTAGACGAGTTAACTAAAAGGCGAATTATGTGTTTACAAAACACAGTTCGACAGTTTCCATAATTTTGAGATAAACCAAAATAAAGTTTTAAAATTTTGATTGGAGATTTCAAAGCAGCAAATACTTTCAACAAAATCTAATGCCTTAGTCTAAAGAGGGTATATATTGTTCTATTTATTAGAAAAATTAGTTGTTGCCTTTTTGATCTAAAATTTTTTTAACACTTGAATTTAACAGGTTTTTCTTCTGGAAAAGTTCTTTGGCATTCAGGTAAAATCAATACTTTCAGAATGGTCACCTGCATCACACTGGAGTGATTGCTTTAATTTCTAAATCATCGATTAATATTATCCAGGGATATTGATGGCCTTGGTACATAATTTAGTTTTGTCATTATTCCAGAGTATGGAATTCAGTATTCTGGGGGCATCATCTGACCCCATTTCTTTTTACCACAATGGTCCCTGCTACAATGTCATAGGCTGTTCGATTATGTTGAAAAAACAGCAGTGTGATGAACGCAGGGAAAAAAGAAGCAATAGAAAAATTCTTGATCAAAGCTCGAATGGTGGACCTAAAAAAAGCAGAAGCATCAAGTAAGTTGTGCATTAGCTATACAGTAATTCTGTCAAATTATGTATTTAAAACATACTCAAAGTACAGCTGAGAATTTTAATGTTACTGTATAAGTTACTGTTATATGACAACACCCTGGTGAGACCACTTGGGTTTTTTCCTAAAGATTTCATTAATATAAAACACTTAAAACTTTCATATGCAAAGTATAATAAATATCAGAATATAAATTAAGGACTTACAGTGTATTTTCTAGTATCCTGCCAGGAGAAAAACTGGTTTCCTTGCTTAGATAGTCAACTTGTGTATTCCCAGTGTCTTCTAAACTACTGCAGCTTGTTTTGTACCTTAAGTGAACTAGCATTTTAAATTTCTGGCCATTGTTTGATCAGTTGTTTCCTTTTTGGGAACCAGTAATTAAGCCTTTTGCAGGGAGGTGGGTGGAGGGGTGGTGGTGGTGATTAGGGGTAGAACAAGCTTTCAGTGGCTAAGAAGAAAGAATTATTCCAGAATCCACCCTAGATTTCTGTCTTACTGCACTAATAAACTACCAAAAAGTGCAGTGGATAAGAGCGTGGGCTCTGAATCCAGACTGTTTGCAAACACATCTCTTAATTACTGGTTGTGTTCCACAGCTGCAAAAGGGGCAACAGTATCTTGTAAAACTATTACGATTAAATTAGTTAATACATAGGAAGCGTGACTAACAGTGCCCAGTATATAAGATGTGTTCAATAAACATCGCATTTAAAGTAATTAGCCAGGGTATAACCACAAACATTTTAGGAAATTTTGAGTATGTCAGCAAAATCAAGTCACCTTCTCTAGTAATTTGTTCTATTTGTTTATAAAACAGTGCACTTCAGAATCATTCTGGTAACAACTGCAGCCATATTGTGTTTGGCTCAACTAGTCAGTACTCAGCTCAACTCCACTGCCACTACTTGCAGACGTGTGCCACTCTGGATCAGGATAGCTACCGCAAGCAGTGGGGACTGGAGGTATCATAGGCCACTTAAGAGCATGAGTAGGATGCATTCATGTGCACCGCTGTCCAGCACTCACAGTACAAGATAGGGTAGTGACAGCTATTACCAAATGGTGGCCCAAGGCAGCTGAACCATACCCACAGCTCTAGAGAATAACACAGCTGTGCACAGAGCACTGACCCAGCATTAACACCCATCCCTCCTCTCACTGTTGTGAGTTACATATATTGAAAGGAGGCTATACAATCATAACCAAAGGTTCACAAACTTTCTTTCTTAGCAAATGTAAGCCTATCTAATAATGGTATATACTGTGAAAAAATACCAATATTCTGTAGGAGGTATATCATGAAAGCACTGAATGCAGTCCTGTGTCACTTAACAGCGGGATGGACACAACTGAGAAATTCCATCATCCATCAGTAGGTGATTTTGTCATTGTCCAAAAAACTCCTAAGAGTACTACACAAAAGGGGCTGGGGATTTAGCTCAGCGGCATAAGCACCTGCCTTGCAAGCAGGCGGTCGTGAGTTTGATCCCTGGTACTGATTAAAAAAAAAAAAGTACTACACAAAGATGCTTCCAAAGTCTAGGCTACATAATCTTCTGGTCCCATAGCTACACATGACCAAAGTATCCAGTGTGAGACTACCCAAATGTATTATTCTATTAGGTATATAATAGATTAAGCTAAGAAAAGGACAAAAGGACTTACGTTGTAATGCTAACATTTGAGGAAGGAATCACTAAAACCCGACTTGGTGCAATAAGCACTGATGTATCACAGGTCACAACTCGAAGCCCCAGCAGGAACTTCCCTGGGGTCGCGCCATCTGTTCCCCAAATGCAAATTATCTGAGAAAAGAAAGAGAACTTAAAAATAATTTACCAGCTTAACTACACCAGTTTTAAACATAAGTTTTCATGGCATGTTATTTTCACCTTTTAAAATTTTTAATTGAAAGAAGGCCTAAGTACTCCAAGGTTAGCTATTTAATGCATTTCTATGATGTCTTGATGTATTTAACACCAGGAGATGTGTACTGTGTAGCACTTCTCCATAGCCCATTGCATTTTTAAAAAGTTGTTTCTAAGGATAAATACATTTCAAGTTTCACAATAAGCCTACTTAGTCTGGAGTATGGAACATAATCTGAGTAATTTTTTTTTCCAAGACACAAAGAAATTTACAAAATATCTCCCAAATTTCTTTTCAACTTGAAAAACAGTATGTCAATTAAAATTGAGGAAACCAGAAAAGCTAGACACTTAAAAAAAACATGAATTATGAATTTTCATTGTTTTGACTGATAATCTAAAATGAGGTTAAAAATTAACATTTGCTGCAGTCAGTAGCTTACCTCATAGAAACAAACTAATAATCTGTATATAAGTGCCACAACCATCATTTTCTGCAAGTCTTCCATTGATGTGTCTTCATCAATTTCTTCTATTATATAATGCATAGCAAATTTAGAGATGTCCCTACACAGAATAGTTTGGGGTTATAAAGAATTAGTGCCTCAAACAGTTGCATCCTTTTTTAGTGTAGTCATAAATTTTAATTGAAAGTCTAAGCCAATCTTTAGTTCCTAATCATTTAACTGCATAAAAAATTCACTGAATAAGCAAGAAACAAAAACAGCAAAAAATGCATGTTCATTTATATGTGCTATCCTATGGGCTGAGGATACAGCTCAGTAGTACAGTGCTTGTCTGCACTGCATAAGCCCCTGAGTCTGATTCCCCACTAATATGTACTAGTTCCTGTGAACATAATGGTGAGTGAATTCAAAACGTACCTGTTTTCACCAGACTTCAGCATGAGAACAATGAGTAATGATAAAGTGGGATCCGAACTTCAATGATAAAGAACTAGAGTACCACAGAAACATATGCCAGTTACACTTAGCCTTGTGAAGATTCCCAGAAATGACATTTAAGCTAAGAGCAGAAGGATGGAGCAGAGTCAGCCAGAGTAAGAGAGAAGGAACGAGAGAGCGAGCCTTGGATCAATGTAAAACAGACAGGAGACTGTCTTAACACTTAGAAGACTGGTTATAAAGCAGAGACAGTAAAGTGGGTTTGGGAGAAGCCATGAGGAGGGAAAAGTCCAGCAGGGAGGAAGAAATGGTCTGCCTTGAAGGGTGTTCAGGAGACAGCTTAACAGAGCTGGGACTTGGTAGGATGTGTCAGGAGTAGATGGACAGTCCTGGCAGGGCCCTCAAGTTGGACTACAGTTTTGCATCATGTCACTAAGTACTTTAGTAACCTTTAAGTTCTGGTCTTAAATTCCAAACTCAATAAAATGGAGGTGTTAACTCCTACTTCATAGTGGTACTAAGATTAAATAAGAATCAGTACAAAGATGTAAACTCAGTGCTTTGCACACAGAAAATGTTTAGCAAGTTTAGAGTTCAGTTATGGATATGATTATTGAGGATTATTCAAGTAAATATCTCACTTGACAGCCAACTTTGGATTTGTCTGGTAACAGAAGCTACCTCATTTAGAAATGATACTAGGTGAATTTTTTTTCTCCCATACTGGGGATTGAACCCAAACCTCTGCAGTGAGCTATAGCCTCAGCCTTTAAAAAAAATTAATAAAAAATTTATTGAGACATTGTCTCAATAAACCACTAAAGTGTGCAGGACGGGCTTGAATGTGCTCTCTTGCCTCTGGCTCCCAGAGGGCTGAGATTATAGATATGCCCCACCAAGCTCAGGTTACCAGGCTCAGGTTCCCGCTCGCCAGTTGATTATTAACAGCTGACCTCCAAATGGTCTGTATACCTTTTAGATATTCCACAGGACAATAAAAAGGAAATTAGGGCCAGGGGTTTAGCTCAGTGTTGTAAGTGCCTGTGTGGCTCCTATGAGTTCGATCCCAGGCACCAAAAAGAAAAAAAAAATTAGTTCTTGGCTTAAGGGGATAGTTGAATAAAAACAAACTAGGTTTAGGGGCTCTTTTTCACAGATCTTAAAGAATTAAGAGTTTTCTCTTTTGTAGTTATGGAAAAAATAAATCTGACAAAGCTTTTATAAAGGATGACATTGGCACATCTATTGATCCATACAGTCATTTGCAGGCATAAAAAGAATGTAACAAAGGTCTCTAAACCTTTACACAAATGTCAACTTACTTTATTCCACTCAGGTGCATAATGCTTAAGACAATAGTTGCTTTTATAAAGAAGAGAATGAAGAAATCCACCATCTCTGCCATAAATCTGTGGGCTAAGGATGGGATAACATATTCTCTGCCTACAAGTTAAAAGGAAAAAAAAGTTAGGAAAACTCCATGCTGACCTGAGAAGAAAGTCAGGAAATGAAAAAATGTGACTTAAGGAACAACTCAATGTTTTTTTTTTTTAAATGCATAACCTTGCAGGAGCAACTGGTATTGCTTACATCAGAATACATGTTACTAACAAAGCAACACTACTATTTAGTGACCATTTAAAATTTGCTTTCAGGGCTGGAGGTTTAGCGGCATAAGCACCTGCCTTGCAAGCAGGCAGTCGTGAGTTCGATCCCCGGTACCAATAAAAAGGAAAAAGACAAAAAAATAAATAAATAAAAAATAAAATAAAATTTACTTTCACCATTTTCTTTTTTTTTTTTTTTTTACCGGGTGATGGAACCTGGTGCTTGTCAGGGAGGCCCTTATGCTGCTGAGCTAAATCCTGCTTTTACCATTTTAATATTTAAAAATTGAATAGGGTAAAGAATACATTTCAGTTAGAGATTCGTGAGAATCTAAGTGATCACATCCAGGTGACAAATTTTTTTGTTAAAATCAAAGGTACAGTTGGTATAAAGTATATCTCTATATGTTATACTTCCCATTCGTTTAATTTGTTTTATTTTCTTTAAGATCCAATGATAGGGGGCTGGGGATTTAGCTCAGCGGCATAAGCGCCTGCCTTGCAAGCAGGCAGTCGTGAGTTGGATCCCCGGTACCGATAAAAAGGAAAAAAAAGACCAAAAAAAAAAAAAAAAATTCAATGATAACCAATCTGTCATACTCAACTCTGAGTACAATCATATTCAGACATCACTTCATTTTTTACCATATATAAATATATCTGCGGCTGAATAAAACTTCTAATTAGAAGAGTGGGTAATGAGCTTAAATGTGTAAAGAATTCGAAATATTCTCGTTCTCACACAGAAGGCAACAAATGTTATTCAAGATCGGTAAGCCGGGCACGGCCAACGCTTGCCTATTCCATTTGAATTCACATAAATCCTTTATTCCCGTCGGGTCCACTTTTCCTAAGGAACACAAGGCTAGATTACTATTCTAGGCAAGCACCGCGGTTTACAACCGGCGAGTTTAGCTTTGGTTTTCTCCAGGGTGCTGGGGAATCAAGGTAAGACCATGCTTTAGAGGTACAAAAAGTTTCTTTACACCTGTAAATGACTGGTCCTGCGAGTAAGGGAAGCATTGCGGAGCGCTAGGTCTAATGCAAGAAGAAACTGCACTGCCTTGCCATAGACTCCGGGAATTCAAGGCAAACGACAGCTGAGGCACGCGCAGAGCCAAGGAGCCAGAGTGCAAATCTCCAACACTGCGCCTGCTCTCGCCCGCGGGTAGCACCCTGCAAGCCTCCCGCCCCGCCCACCCCGTACCGCTCACCTACCTGCCTGCCGCTCGGTCTCGCCCACTGTTCGCGAAGGGGCTGCGGCTCCCGCCCTCGTCGCCGGGGTCGCCCGGGCCGATCCCGATCCCTGCACGTGAGAGGCCCGCTGACCCAGGCCCGCGACAGGAGCAGGAGTGGCGACGCCCGCGGCCCCGGCGCTCAGAAAGTAGAAGGGGTTGTAGTAGCCAAGCGGCGCGGCGGCCGGGGGCGCGGGATAGCTGGGCGGCGGTGGCTGCGCGGCGCAGTAGGTGGGGAAGGCGGCCAGGCCGCTGTGCCAGGTGAGGTAGCCGCAGTAGGACTGCCACAGCCACTCGTGCACTTGCCGCGAGTACTCGCGGGCGCTCAGCCGCCCTGGCCTCTCGCGCGGCGCCGCGGCCTCGGGAGCCTCGCAGTCAGCCGACTCCTGAGGGTCTGTGATCGAACCAAGGGCCGCCTCTCGGCGCCTCCTGGGCTCGCGCGGCGGCTCCGATCCCTCGGGGGCTGCGGGCGCGAGGCCTGGGGTCGGGAGCCCGCTCGGGGCCTGGGATTCGGCCCGCGGTCCATCTTGGGGGTCGGGGGCAGCGGCGGGAGGGCCTCTCAGAGAGCGGACCGGCTCGTGGTCTCCTCCGCCGTCGTCCTTCCCGGGAGGGCGGCCTCGGGCTTCCTCCGGCCCTTCTGCCATAGCCGTCTCCGCTGCACCCGCAGAGGTACCTGTCACAGCGCCGCTTCCCTTCCCCAACCGCCCCTCCCCACCAGCCCGGCGCTGCCGCAGAGACCGCAGGCGTCAACAATCGGGCCCCGGAAGCGGAAGGCCCGCCCCCTGGGCGTTGGGGGCGGGGCCGGCGGGCGGAAGTGTCGGCGGAGGCGCTAGTTTCTCGGGTGTCAGTCTCGTCCGCCAGCTGCGGTTCACGATTTCAATTGCAATCGGAGACCTGACACCTCTAGAGATAATACTGTGGTCGCACCCAGGTTCCCGGGGAGAGCCGCGGATGAACAGGACGAGGATGAGAGGGCTCGGGGTCAGCGTGATCTTTGCTTTTTGGAAGCTAACACTGTTACGTTAGTTGAGGGCACAGGACTTGGGTCTGCTCCGATTCATTCCAGCTAACATTTGTTTCCGAGAAGATGAAAACAGAATATATCCTCTTAGAACATAAGGAGTTGAAAGGCCTACATTAGAATGGTTTAATGCAGAGATTTTCAAATGTGGAGGAAGGGGGGGCTGGGGATTTAGCTCAGCGGCATAAGCACCTGCCTTGCTAGCAGGCGGTCGTGAGTTTGATCCTTGGTACCGATAAAAATGGAAATGAAAAAGACAACAACAACAACAACAAAAAAAAAAAATGTGGAGGAAGGGAAGGGAGGTTTTGCTGATCTGAAAGCTGAACTCTAACCTGGAGCTAGCCTGTGTCTGTAAAACCTTTTCTTTTGTGTACACACCCTTTCTATTTTACCGGAATGCTTTTCTTCAATCTCATTGTCTTAATCATAGGATCCTTTCCATTTATTTTCTGTTGTAGGAAGACTGGTTGTGTCCTACAGTTTTGGTGCCTTCTATAGAACCTTAGTACATTCATGATTTCCTCTTCATGTGAACTATAAGTAACGCCTCAAATATTTCCATAACTTTTGCCCTTATGAACTAAGAATCTGGTTCAAGAAAAGACTTTAATGAAACACTTGAGAGTCTCCAGTGTGTAATTATGAATTCAAAGTTAGGAAAGGTCATGCTGACATATAACTGGAATGGTTTATCTTTGAGCTGCAACCTCACCGGCTAGGAAATTTTAGTCTTTAAACAAATATTCCAAGTTGGGATGGAGAAAGCAGAAGAACAGTAAGAAAGAAATGAAGATGGGAATGAGTATGACGTGTTGTGATTATTGGCCATGTGGATTTTGTTTTGAGTAACTACTTAACACATGGACATGGCACTGTGCAACTGTAAATATATGAAGAAAATGATATAAAAAAGACACAAAAAATTAGAAGCAAAAGAAAAAATTATTTCAAAAAAACGAAGAAACACCTTAAGAAAATATAACAGGTAGTGCCTGACAAAAATTAGAAGTTTAAATCAAAAAGAAATAGAGAAATGATTTGAGAGAAATGATAAATATTGAAAATAAGCAAAGAAGATGGGCAAATTTTAAAGACAGCCAGTATATAGGCTAAGAGTCACTGATTCAGAAAAACAGAAAAATAAAGAGTATAATTAAAGAAAATATTTCCGTGTGTGTGTTTGTGTTTACTGTAAATCAAAGAACCACAATATATATTCTAGGGCTTTGTCTAGGATGCAGCTTTGAGCTGAGTCTTTAAGGATAAGGAAGATGATTTCAGGGATAGGATATAGTAAAAGCACTGTTCATGGCATTAGTGAAGCTCATAGTCTGAGGCAGACCCAAGGAGAGGTAAATCTGGAGTAGTAGAGAGGGGTTGGATTATGAAAGATGATTGTCCTACATGACAGATTTGGGGCTTCATCTTATAAATGGCAGAAGTTACTGAAGAGCTTTGATCTGGCAGATAAGCCTGGTTATATCTGTTTTAGAAACATCTCGTAATGGTGTGGAACATTGATTGGAATGGTGTACAATTGAAGAGATGGAGAGAAAAATGCGAATGGTCACTAGCTTTCAAGGACTGAGGAGGCACAGTTTTGGTAAGATCACCCTGGCCTGTTAATATAGAAAGAGGCCAGATTTTAAAGTTTTACTGAAAGGTCTGGCTAATCATTGTCTTAGCGCAACCTGATTCCCATGAGATGATTGCTCCTGTTTGGGTAGGGGCAGCCTATTTTGCTGAGGCTCTGTTAAAATTCAGGGTGGCTTCAGGATTAGGACAATGACTAAAGACTTGTAGGCACCCATTTGTCTAGTGGGAATCTGGAGTAGGACATTGTAAAAGTTGGCAGTTGAATGACTTTGCAAATTCTTATCTTGGTGTCCTCAGTAAGAAGGTGGGTTATAGATATAGTTTAGGCAAATTTAGGCCTAATATGTTGGGGGTGGTGGCACATGTCAGTATTCAGGAGGCTGAGGATGGAGGATTGCTGCAAGTTTGAGGCCAGCCTGTGCTACATAGACTCTGTTTAACAAAAATATTATAACTAATAAACCCTGTATTACCAGCTTTTGGAAGACACTCTTTTTGCTGGTCTCGAACTCGCAATGATCCTCCTGCTTCAGCCTCCCAAGTGCTGGGATTACAGGCGTGAGCCACCACACCTGGCCGGAAGACACTCTTGAATGGTTTACATGCCTGCATGCAGAGCCCTGTGGACCTGACCTAAAGTTTGAAGGTAATAACAGAGGTAGACATAAAATGAAGGCAAAGATGCAAACCCTTATCCTGTGTTTAGTTACACCCTTTTAGCATCTACCTTTTTTAGGGGCTGGGGATTTAGCTCAGCGGCATAAGCACCTGCCTTGCAAGCAGGTGGTTGAGAGTTCAATCCCCGGTACCGATTAAAAAAAAAAAAAAGCATCTACCTTTTTTTTTTCCTTTTGTGGCCTGTTTATTTTTCTACTTGGGATGTGAACCATCTGAACACAGGTCAGAAAATGCAGCTGTACTGAAGCATTTCAGCTGATTGGAAAACAGGAAGAATGGGCTGGAGTGGGTGGAGTGGTTAATTCCAGACCAACTTCCCTCAAATGGCTTGTGGTCTAAGCCCACAACCAGAGGGTGCTCCCAGCAGGGAGGGGCAGGACTGTGCACTGCAGACTACAGCAAGGAGGGACAAGTCACAGGTGGGGCTGCAGCTATATTTATTTAGTTCCGGCCTCCTGCTGCTGTCTGTTGATCAAATCACTGGTGGAAGAATCATGAGAGGTCACTGCAGCATTGCCATCAAGCTCAGGCTCAATTTTCTTAGCCATCTGCTTTCCCAGATCCACTTCCCGTGTTGTACCCCAAAAATGAGGCCCCAAGAGGTTATTCAAAAAAAACGGGGCAAGATGTCTTTTTTAAAAAGATAAAGAGCGCTTTTATTTAAGCTGGCACCAGTGACACAGTGCAGATGCAGTTTGCAAATCTGTGCAACTGGGTTAGAATTTCGACAGATTTTTATAGTGATTAAACCGCAAAGTAAGGAGTGATGTGAAGTGAACAGGAATGAGGAAGGCCTTTGTTCTCCTTTGCTTGGGGTCAGAGGCCGTTTGGTGGTTGGTGGTTAGCCCTTTCTTTTCTTAATTCACAGCCCTTGGTCTGCTAATTCCAGGAACATTTGTTTCTCACAAAGGGAACAAAGGTTGACACAGCAAACAGGCCACCCTGATGCATACCGAACGGTATGGTGGTGCCTCACGTAATGCATAACAAAGTGGTTAGTGCTCCAGGGTGGCCGAAAACAGCTGTGTTTTCCAAGGTTACTTAGGGTGACAAGCATAGCACAGGATGATGAAGCTCTTTTTGCTAATAACAATCTTTTTAACTTTGCATTTTAGCTTTTTTTTTTTTTAAGCACAACATCCCACTGGTCAAAACTGTTGATGTCCCAGATGATGCCCTGAACGAAGATCTTATGCTCATATAATCAAGGCTCCAAGGATGAATGGTGTCAGCTTGGGGAACACAATAGTGTTGGTTGGGAAATTTCCTTCAAAGACCTTGTGTGGCAACAGCTTCTCAAAATCCTGGAATTCTTTCCTGCAGCCTGGAGCTCCTTCTGGGTCTTTTTGGTCAATTTGTCCTTCATTGGGACCTCTGCCTGGGCTAAGCAGTTGGCTGGGAAGATCTTATAATGCAGGGTCTGAACCGGGTGCTGGGTCTGAAGCGGGATAAAGAAGTCAAAGGGTATCATCTTGGTGCCTTGGTGGATGAGCTGGTGGAATGTGTGCTAACCACTGGTTCCTGGCTCTCCCCACATGCTAGGGGCAATCTGGTGGTCCAAATGGACACCTACCTTGATGATGTACTTCCCACTGGACTTTATGTCACACTGCTGGAAGTAAACAGGAAAACAGTACAGGTACTGGTCACAGGGTGGCAAGACCTGTGTCTCACTCCCAAAGCTGTTGATGTACCAGACCCTCAGCAGTGCCAGGAGGACAGGGGTGTTCTTTTCTAGGGGCCCCATTTGGAAGTGCTGGTCCATCCAGTGAGCTCTGGAGAGCAGCTGCTCAAAGTTGTCAAAACCTACATGCAGCCTGATGGAGAGTCTGATGGCTGGCCACAGGGAGAAGCATCCACCTACCAAGTCCAGAACTCCAACATGTTTTGAGGGTCAGCTCCAAACTCCTTCACCTTGGCTGTGTTGGTAGAGAGGAGAACAAAGTGCTTTGCCACTGCAGAAGCATCCTTGGCAGACATGAGAAACCACACCTTTGCCATCTCTGCATTGGTGATGGTCTCCTGTGGGGTAAAGGTCTTGGAGGTGATGATAAACAGGGATGTCTTGGGGCTCAGGTTGGCCAGGGTCTTGGCAATGTGGGTCCCATTAGTGTTGGAGACAAGCCATACCTGGGGACCTCCTGAAGAGTATGGCTTACGGGCTTCTGTCACCATGAGAGGTTCCAGGTCAGAGCCTCCAAAACAGATGTCGATGACATCTGTGATGGCTTTGCCTGTGTCTCCCTTCCAGTTGCCACTCTGGACATGCTGACAGAAATACTTCATCTTGTCCAGAACTCTGTTGATCTTTGGTGTCACAATCTTGTCATCCACCAGCATGGGTGTATTTGACTGATTTCTCAGGGCCATATGCAATACTGTGCCATTCTCGGCCTAGTTGACCTTCTCGCATTGAAATGTGCTCCTGGGCAACCTTCACATCCCTGGAGTTGGCTGGTTCCACCAGC